TATGCTGTGTGAGTTCTGGACTAATGCTGCAAGCAAACTTGACACATGCCTGCAGGCTCCTCTGGAGGGGCGTTAGTTTGAGAGGGTGAATCCTCCTCTGAGTCTGAATCCAGGTTCGGTTTTTTGGGATTTTCATGCCTGTGTCGAGTATGGTGGCTAACATGGCAACCAGGAATGTATTGTCCGTCGACAAGAGTTGTCTTTTGTATGCATTTTTTACAAATGCAAAGGACCTGTTGGTTGGAAGGCATGGGCGATCAGGAGACGGGTGAACTCTGAACACACTGCCTAACTCTTGGCCATATTTATATCATTGCAATCTTCTGTATACACATGTCAAGATAACCATTGGGATAACCATTTGCTCAAGGGTTGGATTGCATCAAAAAATGTCACCAACTCCATCCACTATCAACATCACGAGATTGATGCCCATGTGGTGGCCGGAATTCTGGGCTACAGAGAGATAAGATCTACCAGCGATTGCGGTGAGCAGTGTTGGTCGTGAAACGACCAACAGTGGACGACCAGGTCGTCAGGCCGTTCGAGGCCTTCTATTCTTTATAAAATAACTGTACTATTTCGACCAAATGTTCACTATTTTTAGAAAAAAAATCAGCACAGATGACATCGCAGACTCAGCGCACAGAAATTCTGGGGATGTATGGTCACTGATTGAATAGGAAGCATGGGAATCGCGATTTACCTGACAAATTGTATCTTCGCACAAATGCGGGGGAGAGGAATGCGGCCTCAGACAATATGGTGCGGACGAGGTAAGCGGCTGCAAACGCGACCAAGTTATGTGGCAGACAATCCGGCGCAGATGACGCAAGTTACTGGCGTGAAACGTGAGCAAGTTGGGTGGGATGTGGAGCGATGAGGCTCAGGCAAGTTACCAGTGTCAAACGCACAGTAAGTTATGTGGGGATGTGGACGGAAGCAGAATCAATGTCAAGCCAAAAGTGGATGACACCGGATCACCAATAGGTCTAGGGTTAGGGTTACTCAAGGGATCAATGATGGTATATGCTTGGCCTCCACCTCCATCTCACCACAACTGACCGGCATTTTATGCTGGTCACTTGCCTCCTCCAGTTTCAAGCTCATATCTTAAGGGTGTATACGCGGGTTCTTCATGCGCGGTAACTTGCCAGTGTATACGCTGGTAACTTGTTCGCCATGTGCTCGTCATCCCGCTGTGCCTTTCCTGCTCAACCCTCTCCGGACATATCCTCCTCGTCATACACACCCTTTATCTCCTTGTCGCCACCCGCCTCCTTCTCCTCCCGCACCCTTCACCTGCTGATCCTCATCCGCCTCCTTCTCCTCCTCGCGCTTGTGTCCCCCTCCTCCTCATCCCCGTAGACCTCTTCCTCATGCTTGCGCTCCAGCTTCTCCGGCGGTCCGCCGCCGATCCCACCGTACCTATAAAAGGCGCCGGCCGATGACCAGCAGGCCATTTCGCTCTTGAACCTCAACCACTACCACCACCGTCCAACAAAGGTTTTACCATCGTTGTGCGGTTTTCTTTTGCTGTTAATTCTCCGGAGGCGCTGGCCGATCACCAGTGGGCGACTTTGCTCTTGAACCTCAACCACCACCACCATCGTCCAACGAAGGTTTTACCATCGTTGTGGGGTTTTCTTCTGCTGTTAACGGTTTTTTGCAGCCCTTTCTCGCGTTTTCTTTCTAGCACCACCATTTTACACTCTCACTACCTGGTAAGTCGTCCCGCCTACCATTTATTGGCGCTGACATGCGGGTCTTGAGTGCGATGAGTGCCGCAATTCACGCGAGGATAATCGCCGCCATTGCCGCCATCTTAGCGTCTAACCCGGCTCACTGGCGGTGCGGAGTACTATACGACTTCGGAATCCCGGTCACCCAGCCCCCACTGCTCACAACGAATCGGCGTGCGCGTCGCGCCGCCGCCCGACGACCCGAGATCAAGATCGGGTGTTCCAATCGCCCTCTGAGGCGCCAACGCGAGTAGAAGTGGAAGTGTTGGCCCCAACAACAGGACTGGTGGTTCTACTGGGACGTCCCGGATGCACCGAGTTTCGGTAGGTGTTTCCTCTCTCAGCGTCGTGGGCTAATTTCTTCCCAGAACGTTTGATCCACTTGCATTTCAAACTCCACGGGGCCTGGATTCGGCCGGAGGAATGCGAGTTCTGCGGCACGAAACATTGCGAAAAGTTCGATTACGCGCGCTGTGGCGGGAGCAACGGTGTCGTCGCAGTGGTGGAGTACTACTTGTGGCGCCTGGGCTGGCCAATCAATAGGTGAGTCCATCTCATTCATTAGCCTTCTCGAATCTGAACTGATTATTTGTCAGACATACTATGTAACGCAGTATGATAAGACAATGTATATAATGCGGGTTTGTGATAGTCAGTGCATGCAAAATTAAGGCTTGGAGTACGTCTGGGTTACCTATTGCTTGAGTGTTCGAGGTACTGACACTGCTGTGCAGCGCATGTCCAAAGCTCCGCCGCTGCCACTTCCCCCGTGCACCCCCGCCACACCGGCGAAGACCAAATTTTGTGAAAAGGTGCATCGTGTTTTGGCTTCCCGGAGTTAACATATGTTTTCTAGGGTTTTTCCTACTCGAGCAAGACGCCTTGACTAGGATTTGGCAGCTGGTTCCGGAAAGGACGCGCTTACGCGAGCAACACATGCAGAGATGTCTCGCGACTATGCGAGGCGTTGTGCGTGCGCTGCTCGCGGCGGTGGCGGCTCGCACGAGAACGAGAGTGGGGCACGGAGGCGGACATATCGTATTGCGCGAGTGCGAGCGGTAGGAGTGCGGCATCACCCGCACTGTAAACAGGCGGGTTTCACGTGGGGGGCGGAGCTGACAAAGAAAGGGCGGGCTCCACCTGCTGGCAGACATAAGGTGTGGTCGCGTGCCGAGCAAGGTGACGTGCGGGTGGGATGGCCGCGCGACAATGGCGACAGGTGGGGATGGCTGTAGCCCGACAAAAACAATGTACGGGCATGGGTGTACCCCGACAAAGACGTACATTGGACCGCCGGTAGGTGTTTTGGGGTGACAAAGGGCGAAAGAAGGCGGGCTGCCCCAAGGACAAAGGCGCGGTTGCGTGTCGGGCAAGGCAGCGTACGGGTCGGATGGCTGCGCGACAATGGCGACGTACAGGCATGTTGCACCCCAACAAAGACGACGTACGGCAGTGGTTATTGCCCGACAAAGGACGGACGGGGCCGGGCCGCCGGTAAGCATTTTGTGCCGACAAAGGTGGGAAGTCCGAGGACAAAGACACGGTGGCATGCTGGGCAAGGCGACGTGCGGGCGGGATGGTTGTGCGACCATGGCGACATGCGGGCATGGCTGCACCTTGACAATGGTTACATCCGCGCATGTGTTTAGCAATGTCCAGGCATAGTTCTAGCTTGACAAAGACAATGTACGGGCATAATGGCATGTCGACAAAGGTGCCATGCAGGTGTGGTAGGCAGCTGACAAAGGCACTAGCCATAAAGTGCCAAGGTGTTGGCAAGCGGGAACGTGGGATGGGCGCAGGGTGGGCAGCTGCTTAACGCACGCAGCGGGTGGGACTAATGAGAGCGCAGATGCGAGCGTGATTATCGTTGATCACGAGGGCGCGCAAAAGGCACGGCTCGTTATTTAGGCCGTAGAGGCCCCGTCATGCCGAACTTCGGCGCAGACACGACGGCATCTGCAGCTGACTCTCGGCTCCCGACGATAAAATGCTCAGGTATGGTACATAAATACCTTCTATACTGTAAACCTTCTCAATAATTATTCCAAACTAACAATATACATTTATTGCATCCCAAATATACTTTGTTAAATACAACAATAAGTACGACAAAGAGCCATTGTAAGCGGCATCACTACCTGCGGAACACATGCGTTGGACGCACCTGCCTTTTAGGTGCGTTGTTCTTTGCCTCCGGTGAGATAGATCTCTTGCTGTGCCGTTGACTCCCGATTGGCATCGCTGACTGCTCTAATCATCCGAACTTTTTCTGGGATTTGGTGTGCCAATCCATTCTGCGGCAAGAGTTCTCAGTGGCAAATTCCGAGGTTTGAAGGTGTTAAGCCCGACAATAGGAAAGGGCGATGCAACGCCACGTTCGGCTGTTCAAATAATCGTGGGCTCAAAAGCCCTTCCTCATCTTTTCCTTCACCTCTCGTTCTCTTCCTCGATGATATCGTTGTGAAGAGCTCTCTTCCCAATTGCACCGCACTCAGCTGCAACTCAACCCTCTTACTATCTTCGAGTCTCTGCGCTGTTAGAACTTGGTTGCCCTCATAGTTCTCCTCCGGGTGCGTCGTTATTTCCCATTCTCTGTTTCCATAATAATTCATGCCCGCTGTATCGTCTGTCTTTTCCAGTTCTTTAGGCTCCTTCCTACCTGCTTATCTAGTGCAAAGATGAGGATTGTGAATTGCACGCCTCGATTGTCAGTTTGTCACCAATCTCGACCGAAATGCCTGGCCACTGACTACCGAAAATCTAGGATCTGGCACCTGACAAGTTCAGTGATTAGCTTTGCATTCAACGTGATTTTCTTACTTGATTGCCTTTGATGATACAGGCACTTGATTTTGGTGCCATTGCATTGCAGACACAGGCGCGACATAGCCTCCTCTATTCCTGGTTCCACGGGCTTTCTTTCTTTTTTCATTTAGCCATTTTTTCTGCACTTTCTGGTGCTTCCCCTTTTTCCTGCACAGATGCTATTCATCTTGGTGCAATCGTGCATATATGAATCCCGCCAGATCTTACGTTACACACTCTCCAGCCGATAAATCTGTGCAATCACAGCTTCATAGCTTGGTTGCTGGTATTCTTCATTTTTGACGGTTCTCCTTATACCATTCGGCACATTGCTGTGCATGGATGTACGACCTTGTGGGGTAATTCGGTCTGCCCGCTCGAGCATCCTGATCCATTCGTGCACACGATGATAAGGCAGGAATGAGATCAGACGTGAAATGATCCAAAAGATGGCTTTACTGGGATTCGAACCCAGGACCTCCTCGTTACATGCTGAGGTGCTCTAAATCCAACTGAGCTATAATGCCGACATCATGACTAGTCCTGGACCACACTCATGATCTATTTCGCAGCTAGTCAGGCTGGTCCTGGGCCACAATCGTGCACCTGTTTCACAGCCAGCCCTTTCATCATGAAACAATGCACCAAAGTGCAGCAGTGAAATTGAATACAAAAGAGTTAGACAAAGTCTACACTCCAATATATATCAATCCAACCACTAACAACTCTAATGCCATATGTGTGTGTGTTCGGGGAGGTAGGACAGGCGTATCGTCCTTCAATCTCAAAGAACTCAGAACCCTTGCCAATTCACACAATATAGTGCAATGATAAACCAATTTTATTTGATTAACCTAGGTACTACCCACTAGAACACTGGTTGGACTTAGATTTGGCACAAGGCCGCCACACGAGACTTAAACTGATCCTTTATAGCCAAAAGACAAAATCCTATCGACCAGTTAAGCTCAAAATAAAGACGTCAGGCTATAGCTGTGCCTGAGAGGTCTTATAAATGCCAACAGTGGAGTGGGGTTCACTGTCTTAATTTAATTTACATGCAGGTTTATATACTGTACACTATGTAATAAAGAATTAGTCAAAACTCCGCTGTTCCGCAGCAATTTCTCCGTGTGAGACCGTCCAGGCCGAGCCAATTAGTCAGTCTAGTCGGTCCCAGAATAGCTCCGAGTGATTCCTACCCAAAATCGAGTTATTCCCCAAGGAATAACACAGCCTTTTCAATTGTATCCTGTGCTGTCGGAAATTCCCATGGCAACTATGAGTCATTGAGAGTCAGAAAACAGCGCCCAAGGCGGCTCTTGCCATTCTGGATGATGCCTAGACCCTTCTCACGGTGTTTAGCTGTCTCTGACCTCAAGGAGTGCCTGTAAATGCCTAGAGAATTCCCACAGTTACCCAATAAGGTAAGTTAGTACCTTCCTTAGATGTATCCCTTTTTCTGAAGTCCTGAGAGCAAACCAAAGGTTATTCTTTTGTCCTGTAGCTTTTTAAATGTTCCTTCCAATGTCCCATGTGTTTGGTATATGGCCTAGCATCTCTATTGTACTCAAACTCATTGCACAGTGAGCACAACTTTCAGGAGTATTCCAATAGCCAGTGTAATGAATGTTATGTTTGAAACTGGTGTCTTGATGTGTCCAGCGGCCTAGCACTCAGTCCTGGCATAGACTAGCACTCTAATATAGCCATATTGACAGGTTTTATCAGTTTATCCGACTGAAAGGTCGCAAAATTGTATTATTTTTAGGCATGTTCAAATTCATGCCTCATCAACGATGCAATACTTCATGTGTAGCATGGATTTCATTGTCACTTCTCCTTGGATGCAACGCCCGCTCAATTTATCATTCTTCTCATTCTGCTTTTGTTTTCTTTGGAAATACATTTATTAATGTCCGAACGGCGAAGACAAGTGCTCGAGACGGAGGTCAGAATATCCGATGTGAGCTGACGATCACCGAAAGTGTGGCAATGCCCTGGTGGCATTTGTGCTTTTGTCCTTCACCACCTGTGCACATCGTGCCAGACTCGTTGTCGGGTTTAAACAATTGCTGGAGAGCCTCATTATATATTACCAAAGGCCGGAGGCAGTGGAGCTTTCTAACGTACATTTCCTTCAACCGGACCTTCACGGCCTGGCTCTCTGCAATTTGGCCTTTGTGCTCGGGTTTCTAGTGGCCCCATCCTTGAGTGCGATGACACCTATACTTTGGCTTGTCTGATACACTCACCATATAGAGCACTCTTTGGCCTTTTCTCGCATGTGTCCGCCCTCTGAGTTAAATAATCCTCGCTCTAGAAGTTCTGATTGTTTGTATTGCGGGGTGATTCAAATTGAGGTTTATAGTAACCCTTTGATTTCTTTGTCAATTCATTGCCTGCATTTGGAGGCCCCGCGATCGGGGTTACACCGTTTTCATTATTGACGCAAGTCTCCCAGCATCGCGTTCACACGCGTTTCTTACCTTCTTCTCTGTATTTAATATTGTCCACTCCCCGTACTTTCATCACGACCGCAGCCGCGGGCTGTGCGAATTTTCATCGGAGCGTTACGTCGTTGGCATAGATAATTATCTTGCATAATCTTTCACCATGAGTCGGGGGGAAGGGGAAGTGCCACCTCGAGCCTTTGGGTTGATTTTGTAGGTCGCGGGAGCAGGTACGTGTTGAGCAGTTCACTCTTACTCCGGAGTCTCATTTGTTGCTCGGTTGAGCCCTGCACCTTCGCGGGTTCAAAATCCGGGCGTCAAACCCCTCACACCCTCGACTCATTGAATTTATTCGAGCCCCCCGCGAGTGCCATTCGCAAGTTGGTTTTCTGGTTTCTGACTACTGTATGTTCCTAGCGTTGCGCATCATTTACAGCTCTTTGCAGAACTTAGGGCGCGACTCGAAATTTTTCCTTTTTAGGTACTTTTTTGATGGTTTGGACCAGGACAGCCGCCCTTGTCCCAATTCTTGTCCGTTCCCTTGGCCGATATGCTCAATCGCTTCGCATACCAAATATGCAGTTAACCGCGTCTTTAGGCTTTTTATATTACACTTAGGGATGCTTTGTGAGCACCGAAAGGAGTTGTTTCTGATCATTTTTGATTATCTTTGAGCAGGACAGCTGTTCTGGTCTCAGTTGTCTGCCTTTTTCTTCGGGAATAGGCTCAATCTATTCGCATTCAAAATGCGCAGTTAACCGTCTTCTCAGATTTTCAACCTGACCTCCAATACGACTTCCTGTTGGATGAAATACCCAGTAGGTCATCACTTTTGATTGGCATTCAGCAGAACAGCTGCTGCTGCTTCAATCCTTTACCGTTTTCCGCCATCATAGGCTCATTCTACTCGTATAATCTCTCCGCAGGCAACCACCGACTCAGAATTGGGAATTATAGATTTAATATAATTTTTAGTTTTTCACCTGCCCTCAGTGAAAACACACGGTGAATATCCTGTAGTGTGTATTATCATAATGCAACTATGATTTAAGCAAGGTACTAGAGTAAAGTGCAACATTTCAACGAAATAATAGTTTGTGGGCACCCCAAAAGCAGTTCACGACTGTCTTGCTGGAAAGCCTGCTTACAAACAAACTACTGTACCGGGCAAGTGTCGTGAGAGCCAGTTGGGAAATCGAAGGGCGTCATAAACTGCGGATTTACTAGGCGAAGAGATTGCGCCTATAGGTTAAACAAACGATTAAGATCTGAGGCTGTAGCAGCTGTTCTACTGAATGCCAATCAAAAGTGATGACCTACTGGGTATTTCATCCAACAGGAAGTCGTATTGGAGGTCAGGTTGAAAATCTGAGAAGACGGTTAACTGCGCATTTTGAATGCGAATAGATTGAGCCTATTCCCGAAGAAAAAGGCAGACAACTGAGACCAGAACAGCTGTCCTGCTCAAAGATAATCAAAAATGATCAGAAACAACTCCTTTCGGTGCTCACAAAGCATCCCTAAGTGTAATATAAAAATTCTAAAGACGCGGTTAACTGCGTATTTGGTATGCGAAGCGATTGAGCATATCGGCCAAGGGAACGGACAAGAATTGAGACAAGGGCGGCTGTCCTGGTCCAAACCATCAAAAAAGTACCCAAAAAGGAAAAATTTGAGTCGCGCCCTAAGTTCTGCAAAGAGCTGTAAACATTCGAACCGCCTTTCAAGTGATTTCCAGTCTTTAGTGCACTTACGCGTTGCATCCCGAAATTTTGAAGTCTCATGAGCGGTAGACCCTCCCAGGTGAGCTACCACCGCAAGGAGTTTACTTATGTACTGATATGAGCCTTATTTTAATAATTTTTCTGTTCCGTTGCGTTTCGTTGCAAAAACCCCACATTTTATCCCCCAGCATTCACACCCTTCTCATATCGTATTGGGTGATTAACCGTGCCCTACTTTGGTTTTGTTATGACTCAAATTCTCTGCAGGGATTATTTTACTCGTGTTCCTTCTACTAACGGGATCATCGCCGCTTCCAGCCGTTGAAAATAAAATTTAAATTCGGTAATGTAAATCCTGTGGTTGACGTTCTTGACTATACTAAACATCGTCGTGTCTGCGATCTTGTATCGATCCGATTCGTAGGCTCACGGCACGGAAAATTGCCTTTGAGCTTCCGATCATCCGATGGTATTAATCGTTTGGGTTTTCATCACGATACAAAATCCTTCACCGGACCTCCCGCAAGGATCATGCGCTCCTCAAATCCACGGGGGGCTTGTTGATATCCCCGGCTACATACTCCGCGCTCGCTCGCAGACCTTCCGAGCCATCCGACAGATGTTGGATTATTGCCTTCTGAATTCCCTCAGGTTCAGTAGATTTCAGCGGGAGAAAATAGACCTCATACTGATTCACTTACACAGACAACAATGACACCTGCTGGCTACTTCTCGAAGGACTGGTGTGGAACAAATTGTGACCTAGAGCGAAAATGCCGCAAGGCAGCCCCACAAGCGCCACATCGGCGGCGATGACTAAGGAATCCGATCCTCGGATGACCCCGCGATGACCTTTTACAAAGTTTTCCGGCGTCAGCATTGAATTCCGAGGTCTCGCAACAATAAGCCTATAAAAATTGGCACAATACGCTAGAGGAGAATGTACCGCCACCTTCGGCGATCATCCGATCATCGGCTCAAACCGGACTCGCCTCTCAACTTGCTCTCGACTCCCATCTTCTCGTCATCTCTTCCTCGAGGATGTCGTCGTGAAGGGGGCTGCGTCTCCTGTGTTGTCTGGACTTGAAAATCTGAAAATCTCGTCTCCTTCACCAGCATGTCTGTGTACTTACGCCGGTTCCCAAATCCCGCACGTTAAAGATCTAGCACTCCACAAAGCCCTGATTTTGATTCCGAGTAAGCTAGTTAGTAGCCGTATCAGCGGCAGGTGCGTTTTTTTTTTGAAAGAAATGAGATAGCGCCTAAATTTTGGATTGTAGGGAGGACGAGATGGAGAGAGAGACGTCCATGGTGTCGATTAACCAAGTGCCGCTTACGTCGTGGGCACTT